TTTAATATCCAGTGTTATAATTGCAACCAGCTAGATAGGATCAGCTAATATAACATTATAAGAAACCAGAAAGAGGGGCAAATCTATGCAATTTAAAACTTACAGAATTTGTATAGTATAAAAATTTAATACAATTTTTTTTTTTAATTAGCAGCAAAGTATGGAAACATTGTGAAATATTTACATTGTCGACCTTTAAAAAAAAAAAAATCCAGATATGCCAAGAGCCACCCAGCCATTAAAAACTTATCTATTATTGGCACCACTAAAAGGCTGTTTATTACTACTGGCACTGCTACGTAAAAGCTTGTTGATTGTTGGTACCATTAAAAGGTTGTTGGTTATTGGCACTACTAAAAGATGGCTGATTATTGGCACCACTAAAAGCTTGTTGATAATTGGCAGCATTAAAAGGCTGTTGATTATTAGCACTACTAAAAGGTGGCTGATTATTGACACCCTTAAAGGGTTGTTGGCTATTGGATAGAGTCTCCAAATTAAAAATTATTTTTTGATCTAATACCGATACGCACAATATTTGATGTGAACGATAATTTTATTAAAAAAATTTTCTAAAAGACAATACCGTTAACAAATTATCTAAGTAAAAAGCCATATATTACTGTAAAGTATAATAAATTCAACATCGATAAAGAATTTTCATAAAGACTATGCCGTCTGTCACTTAGAATATTTTGTAATTGTTAAAACTTTGTTCAGCATCTACACCAGAAATAGGCAACCATATATCTGATATATGACAAAGCAATTTTTGAAAGATAAGGTAATTATCTTAATTTTTCTTTCCAATATTGATTCAAATCTAAATTATCATCCAACTCTTCTTCTAACCCGTAATAAATACTCCATTTAGCGACCTCAAATTCTTTAAAAACAAAAATATAGTTCAATTGTCCACATGCTTAATAAATTTATCAAATGATAATTGAAATGCTTGGGAAAAAATCGATTTAAAATATGTATAATTCAAATTTTTTTCGCGAATTTTGTTTTGCATAAATGCATTAAACGGCAGATTATTAATACCTTCTTGCAATCTTGCCCGAGTTTGACTAATACGTGAAAATGCATATGGTGCGACAGGTT